CTTAGCAGCTCGGCCTGCCTATATAGATATATATATTGAGCCGAGGTCAAGAAGCTCGGAACGAAGGCAAGCAGAAACAAAGTGAAAGCACTGTTGAGCTCGACAAACACACCGCTACAAGCCGAGACTATTCCACCGAATAGGTCACAATAATATCACCATATTTGAGTCACATCAAATCTCTCTGCTTCACCAAAAAGTGGCCTACCTTTCAGCTATATTATAAAATGTAGAATAAAGGGAAAGTGGACATCATGTCAGGGAAAGTGGAATCATGATTCCAGACATCATAATATATTTTTTTTAATTAATGTTTTTTTTCAATCCACTTTTCTCAACTTTTGGCCCAAAAGTTTGTCTCGGCCCCTTATTTCCTTGGCCTCGGCAGTCAAATCAGCCCCTAATTTCCTTAACCTCGGTAGTAAAAAATGAAGGTCGACCCAAAATCAGGGCGAGATATATATATATATATATATTAGGCCGAATATCTCAGCAACACAGCAAACAAACCTGAGCCATCGACTATCAATGTTGCTCCCTTATTTTCTCATACATCGGCCTGAAAGGCCAAATGGTTAAGAAAATAATTTATTCATTCCTTTTTTTGTAGCAAAAGAAAATGAAAATGGTTGGACCATAATTAGGAGGAGGCCAACGATGCTTTATTCCAAGCCGAGATCTGTTTATACCAAATTTTTCAAATTGATTTTGCTCTAGGCCGAATAAAGGATTTTCTCCAAATATTTGTAACTTGGCGAAAATTTTTTCATTTTTGGCCGCCGAATGTGTTGAACAATTATTATGCCCCCATGCATAATTTCAGCTTTTAACTCAAACAGCTTAGTCGAACGGGATTTCTCTATATCGGCTCTATCACTAATAATCATATCAATTGGCGTGGTTTTTCCGGCTAGGCCTATGTCTCGGCCTTGTTCGTCTTGGAGCACTCCTCTAACAAATCATTTTCTTAGTCGATTTTTGGCTCAAAAACTTGAAAATTTTCTTCTAAGCCAACTAAACTTTCAATCTCGACTGAAAAAATAAGTGGCCTAGGTTTTTCTTTGGTTGTCTTGACAATTTTCCTAGGCCGAATTTTGATTGTTGCTGGAGCGGAAAATTGTCCTCATCTTCTAGATAACTTCTCAAGAAGTTTTGCTTTCTTCTTGTAGCAATTCTTTACTTAGCGCCAAATCTCCAACGGAACCTGATTGAGATCTTGATCTATCATGTGAACTTCGTAGTTTTAGCACTGTGTCTCACTAGGTGTGCCAAAATGTTGACCCTAAAAACTACCAATCCTACGTGGCGCGCAGGCCGAGTAACTAATGAGCTAACTACGTCATTCGGTTGTGTGCGGGGTGTGTCAACTCGTCGGCCAAACTCGGCCGGCGAGTAAAATATGTTGATATGGCGTTGAGTGCGCTATTGACTTCTTGATCCTGCGATTGCGACCGAGGAAGGAACAGGTCTCGGCCTTCGGGTTCTAGAGTCTGAAGACAAGGCTGCTAATTTTGCAAAGTTCAATATCAAATTCGGCTCTCATGGTGCTGAATGTAGTAACATGGTAACACCTCACTTCGCCGAGAAGGCTAATGAGATGACCTCTACCAATAAAGATTCGAAAATCCTTCTCAACCGAGACTTGGATAGATAACCAGTCGGCCTCGACGCAGTGTTGTTTATCCAAACTGAAGGTACTCCACGGTCGGCGGATTCTACGGCAACAATGCTATTTATCCAAACTGAAGATGTTCGTCGGTTGCCTTCACATCGCTATTTATCTAAACTGAAGATGTGTTGGCAGAAAAAGAAAATAAAAATCTCAAGGTTGTTGAGAGGTTTCGCATAGAGCGAGGGTTTGCGCAGGGTAGTTTGTGTGTTAGGTTGGAGGGGCTTTACACGTTGTTTGCAGCCTTGTATTTATAGTAGTCATATTTTCTGTTTGGCATGGCCTGGATTATTCCATATAGTCCAACTAAAAAATTAAACTCCCTCCACGCGCTAACACACGACATCACCACCATATTTTTACTCTTGATAAGCCAATCCATTTGCTAATAATTATCACAACTTGAATTGGTGCTAGTCAAGCAGCATATTCGAAATGCCTGATACCAACCACATGCAATAGAACTCTCATTAATTTCAAACCTTCAATGCTAACTCTTGAAAGCCTTATCACATCCCATTAAGGCCAAAAGCCTCATGCGCCCACGATGAATGGGGGGGCTTTGGCCGAAGAACCTCCGATGCCAAAGTTAGAATTTTAGAGAGAAAAAGTGTTTAGAGTGTTTAGTATTTTTTGCAAGAGGATTGGACTCATCTTTTGGTGAAAATGGGAATCCATTTATAGGGATAGGGGTGGCCGGCCTAGCTAGGGTTTTTGTGTTTGATTTAGGTTTAATTAGCCAATTTATTTGGCTATTTAAACATAAAATGAATGTTTTGGTGGTTTTTGGAATTAATTGGCTAGTTAATTAGGGTAATTAAAAAGGGAAAATAGTGGAAAAGGTGGAGAATAAGATGGTTTACTTTTCTTGATGGGATTGGCCAGCCACTTTAGTAGTTTTAGGTTTGGATGGGTGTTTTAATTGATAATTAAGGGATTGATTAGGTAATTAATCCCTTAATTAGTCAATTATTATGATTTTAGGAAATATGAAGGGAATAAGTATATTATTTAGCTAATTGATTAGCTAAATAATGAAATGGGAAATATATGAATAAATCAGATTTTAAGTTGATACCTATTTTGGGCACTTTTGACTTGGTTGAGGGATAATTGTCTGCTGCTTGCGCGTAGGAATCCCAGTATGCCTCAAGGGTATTCTTGTCATTTTTAATCCAAAAATCCACGTATCGCCTTGTGATTATTTTTTGCTCCACACCTACCTTATCACCTTTAAACTCATCCATCCATGCATGCATCCTGACCCTTCTTTCTTGAATACCAGCTTTGCAGCATATCCACACGTCCACACACATCCCAACTCAACTTGAACTGTACCGCTTGCTTAGAGATATAATTTGCATCTTATTTATCCCATTTAAGAATACGCCAAGATAATTCATATTAAAAAATAATTACTATGATAAAAACCATAATATTATCCTCATTTTTTCATCCGACAGTTAGGAGCTATGATCACTCAACGACTTTAATTGCACGGGCTGATGATGTAAAATCGGGTCCAAACATCTGGCTATTAAAAAATTAACACAAAACGTTAACGTGGCTTAACTATAACCATTTAAATAGGACGGGAGTGCAAGGAAGGGAGACTAGGAGGGGAGAAAATTCGTTCACTGATAGAAGTTGTAATCATGAACTTACCAAATAAGTATAGGCTTGTAATTTCCTTTTTTTTTTTGGTAATTCTAGTCTAACAACGATTTCTTCCGTCACTTAACACTGTAGACTAGTGATACTCTTTCATTTGTAAGTGAGAGGTCTTAGGTTTGAATATTGCCAAAAGGCGAATTTGAACAACATTTTTGTTAACACATTATGAGGTTAAGCCCACTCATTCTCCTTAATTTAGATAATATCGTTTGTTAAAAAAAAAAATTTCTGCCAGGTTTGTAATTCTTCCCTTGATCATCTTTCACATGTTTTCTCTACTTTTGCTACTATTTGGACTTGGAGAGAGTCATTTTCCTCCTCATCTTCATTGGATTTTAAAACTGAATGTGGATGGTGCCTTGGCTGGTCTAATGGGCTGAGCTTGGGGAGTTGTACTAGGGTTTGAACATGGCTAAAACAATAAACTTTTCTCATCTGATTGTTGTTGTGTTACTAGAGCGAGATTAATTGTTTCTTAGTTTGCCTATCTCTCTCCTTCTCCCGTGTAACCTGTGGAGTTAAAAATAATTTCAAAAATTCTAAAGGTGACATGTGAATTTTTACACAAGAAGGATAAAATTGCCCTCACTAAATGGGTAGACTCCTTAGATATTCTCACACGCAGCTCACACCCCTAAAGGTTCCTGCAACTAAATAGGACTGCCCATAGCTCATCTGCCATTGGCGGGAAAAAGTCAAAGCATTAAAAATAAGAATTAATTACCCAAATCCTATATTTAATATATTTTCAATTAAAGATTGATTCAATTCAAGTAAGTAATCCCTAGTTAAATTAATTAAAGATATTTACTCTATTATCTCAAGATATTATTTTTTATTTAATATCTTGAGAATATTTCTCTATAAACCTTGACCAATGAGATGCCGTCATGTGTAGGGTAAAACTCTAACACTATGGCTGGCTCTCTCCCCTATATATATCCCTAATTCTACGAAATTTCGGTAGACTTTTACAACCCTAAAAAACCTAAACACTTACTATTTTCAGATAAACTAACTTAGGCATCAGAAATGTTGGCCTAACCCCCTCACCTCGGAGGCGCGTGGGACTTAGATTTTTTATTAAAAATGTTGATTGTTTTGTAGATGCATTTTTGATAAAGTTAGATATTAGAAATTTGCATCGATATAACCGAAAGAAAGAAAAGAAAAAGAACCTAAACAATTCAGCCAATAAAATATATATATCATTAATATTTGTGCTAGTTTTGATTCCTTCCACCAATCTGTTCAAACTTGGAGACTTGGGCAATCAAAGCCAAATTTGCACAATTAAAGTAAGCACGGCTAGTATTTGACGTTTTGGGATCAGGACAAAGGCTGAAAAGTTGTGTCCTTTAAACACATAGAAAAATTAAAAGAAATCTTAGCACCTAGCAGAAAACCATGTGCACAAAACAATTATAAAATTCAGGACCTAACCTGCAATGCCTCCAAATAAACAAAAGGTTTGTAACATAAATAATATATCATATGTTATTATATAAATAATATAAAATTATATATTTTTATATTAATAATTTTTTAACACAAAAATTTCACCGTTTATATAAAAACACGATAAAAACTCCCTATTACTTTACAAATCTCTCCAAATAAACACTTCACCAAGTCTGCCATCACTCTATACAAAAAGCCAGAGCAATTCCTTATCATTGAAGAAGATGAACTCTCAAAGCGTCAAACACATATCAGAGTGTTTTATCATTCCACACCATGTCTCAGAGGAATCACAGCAGCCATTGTACTTGGCACCCACCGACCTCGCCATGCTCTCTGTCCACTATATCCAGAAAGGCCTCCTCTTTGCCAAACCTCCGGAAGCCATGGATCGCCGCCACAAGGCGGAGTTCGTCAATTCTCTTTTGGACAAGCTCAAGCACTCTCTCTCCCTCGCCCTTGTTCATTTTTACCCGCTCGCCGGCCGCTTCGCGACGAAGAAAGAAGAAAACCCACCTCTGTATTTGGTTTATGTAGACTGCAGCAACAGCCCCGGAGCCAGGTTCATCTATGCAACTCTGGATGTGTCGGTTTTGGACATTCTTTCGCCAACTGACGTGCCCTTGGTGGTTCAGTCGTTTTTCGATCACGACAGAGCTGTTAACCACGACGGCCACACGGCGTCATTGCTGACGGTTCAGGTGACGGAGCTTGTGGACGGCATATTCATAGGGCTGTCCATGAATCACTGCCTTTGTGATGGGACTTCTTTCTGGCATTTCTTCAACACTTGGTCCGAGCTCTTTCAGGCAATAACACAAGCAGCGCATGACAATACCATCGTCCCCGGCATCTCCAGACCGCCGGTCCTCAAGCGGTGGTTTCCGGACGGTCACGGCCCAATCATCAGCCTCCCTTACACAAACCCAGATGAGTTCATCGGAAGATTCGAAGCTCCCGAACTCAGAGAGAGAATGTTCCACTTCTCCTCAGAATCCATAGCCAAACTCAAAGCAAAGGCCAACTCAGAGTCCAACGCCACCAAAATCTCATCTTTCCAGTCCCTCTCCGCCCTTCTATGGCGGTCCATCACCCGTGCACGGCGTCTTCCTCCCAATCAGTCAACCAGATGCAGGTATCCTCCAAACTTCAAAGAATCCTCGAAATTTCCATTTCTTATAATGCGATTCACATTAGATTTCCATATTTTTGTTATTAGGTTGGCTGCGAATAACAGAGCAAGACTAGATCCGCCATTGTCCGGAGACTACTTCGGGAACTCGATTCACCCGATCAACTCGGAAGCCGTCACGGCCGGTGAACTCCTCCAACACAGCCTCGGGTGGGCGGCGTGGAAGCTGCACGAGGCGGTGGTGAAGCTTGACGACAGGGAGATACGAGGATTCGTTGACGCCTGGCTGCGGTCTCCGACCGTGTACCTACTCGGCCAGTATTTCGATCCGTACATGGTGATGATGGGCAGCTCGCCGAGGTTCAACATGTACGGCAACGAATTCGGAATGGGAAAGGCGGTGGCGCTGCGGAGCGGGTACGCAAATAAATTTGGCGGGAAAGTTTCATCGTACGAAGGAAGGGAAAGGGGAAGCATAGACTTGGAGGTTTGTCTTCCTCCTGATGCAATGAGTGCTCTTGAATGTGATGAGGAGTTCATGGAATTTGCATCTGTACCACAATATTAGTGATCATGTGTCATCACCATTCGTTCCGCACTGCATTCCTTAATTGGTTGCATTTCTCTGCTTTGTCTTACGGCGCATGGGGTTGAGCTGCTTGCATAAGTTCAGACTTCTCCTTGGTTAGTACTAAGTAACCACGGTTACGGGTACCCGCGGTTATTTATTCAATAAAACTTAATGATTTATGTTGACCGCTTATGCAATTACATGAGTATGAATATACCTATTCGACCGAAAATATATAGACGGGTGGTCATGGTTACAATTGCGAATACCCGTGGATATAGAATTTTAATTTTTATCGGCTTGGATTTTAGGCCTACTTGTTTTATTTTTATCTTATGGATAAATAACAAGGCAAGAGTTTAGAGGTTAAAGCCTCTATGATAAGGGCAAATAAAAGAGCATTTTTTTCGACAACAAAATAGTTTTATCCCACAAGTAAACTCGAAAAGGCCATCATCGGTGGTGAATCATGAGTGTTATGTGAGAAGAAGGTGGGAGGCAAATGGAAAATTTTTGTGACTTGCTCCCAAAGAATAGCTAGTCCGGTATCCAAACCGAAGAATTTCTCCATCAATGGAATAACTCACATTAATGATGTTCTCCACTAAAAATTTTATGTACTAAAAACATGACAGCAAAGTTTTCTAGCAATTATGACATACCCATTTTAAAACATTCTGCATTACGCATTGAAGCTGGTCTAAGAACTAGACATCGGGTCATAAGAACTAGACAATGTCAATGGCAAGTTCGAATTCATGTTTAATAGAAACATTCCTATAATTTTCTTTAATTTTTTTTTACAGTTAATAAAAAGATTAGAGGAAGGAGAGGCTACCCCATCCTGGGGTCAAGACATACCACAAGCTTCTTTGAGAACTTATAAAATGAGCTTTAGCCTTTTTTAGTTTTTACAGATTATCCATCAAGAGAGATTACATGTACCGGTACTCAAACCTAAGTTTTGGTCTAACGAAAAGAACAATTCTTACAAACTCAATCAACATTTTATTATGAATAAAAAAATTTAGAGCAATTCTTGCGTTGCACAATTTTATATAGATTCGTTCGTTTATATGTGATTAGGATTTGGTAACCGGTAAGTGTAGAAAATTAGATTCATTAAAACGTTATTTTAAGCAAAACATGACATGTTGACTGACCACGAGAGCCAACAACAACTTTTTGGAGGGCGAATTTCGCTTTCTAAAATATTTGTTCTGTCTACCTTGCAGGAGTTTTGACCGGCACGTGCCCGTCATGCCAAATATGTCACACTTCGTACAACCCGACCAATAATTTAACTTACAAAATTGTTCGGTTTTGGAAATTTCAATGTCTTTTTGTTTTCTATTTTCGGTCTGCATGTAGGTCACCGAACCCAATATCGTACCCAACAGAACCGTTCACTTTCCGCTATGACCACGCCACCCGCCACTTTACGACATGTCGTTTTACATTCAACATCCACGTAATCCAAATAAACCCACAGCGTCATCTGAAAGGCTGGAATGCGCGGGAGCACGTACAGCTCGCCCGCACCGGATCGCCACGTTGGAAAGCTTCAGGGGTACGCTATTTCGTTTACTCCATAAACCCCCGAGTCTCCGTTTCGTAAACCCCTCTTCTCGCAATCGAAAACCTCCGAAGCTCGAATCGGAAATTCCGGAAAAACCCTAGAACAAGCTGACGATCTCCATTTACGCATGGGAGATCCTAAAGCGACGTCGTTGCTTTCGCTGGCCCCCGGTTGCCGATTCTACCCCTCGGAGGAGCAGCTCCTCTGCTACTACCTCTCCAGCAAGAACGCCGCCGAGGCGGGGAAATCGGGCGGGTACGATTTGATCAGGGAGCTCGATTTGTACGGCCACGATCCGTTCGATTTGCCGGAGAGCGCATGTTACTCGTATGGCCACGGAGGGAGGAAGAGGCACTGGTTCTGCTACACGGTTAGGATCTTGAAGAAGAGGAGGGCGAAGAGCGGGTATTGGCGGAGGCAAGGGCGGGTTAGGGACGTGGTGGGCCGCGGAGGGACGGTGGTTCTGGGGAGGAGGTCGAGCTTTGTGTTTTATTTGGGGAATTCGCCAAACGACGCCGTAAGGACTGATTTGGTTCTCCATCAGTATGCTCAGGTCGATCATGTTAAGGTAATTTTCGTACACTGTCGATTTTTCGCATTTCGGTTTGGATGAAGGGGCATTGCCTTATTAGGTTTTGAAGTTCTTGTACAATTGTCTTATTAGGGTTTGAAATTCTTGTAGAATTCATGGTATATTTGTTCTTGTTTTGTATAATTTGGTTATTGTTGTTGTTGTTGTATTGTATCAATGTCATATATATGCGTGATTTCGGCTAATTAGGGAAAGAGGCATTATTCCTTTTTTATTTCTTTGGTTAAATTGCTGAATATTTGAGTTGGACGAATAATTTTCCATGTCTATTGAGCTGTTGAGAATTTTGAGTTTTGTTTGCCGAGTAGATAGTTATCGGAAATGTCTCATTAGAACCCAATAGGCTGTGTAAGCATAGACGATTTTTTTTTTCATTCGGTGAGACATGAGTAGAAGTGTAGGTGTTGACACTCTCTTTTGCAAATTTATTCTTCATGATGTTCAACCATGGTATAGCTCTCTAGCCGATTAAGCATTGTGCGGTATGCCATACGATTGATACTCCCCTTAGTCATTACTGCACGGTGCTAAATATAATGGTGTGTGTGCACATGAGTAACATCTCGTATGTCTGTTCATGTGCAGGCTGCTTTTGTCCTTTGCCGTATTTTGGTGAGATCTCGTAGTGGAAATAGAATATCAGATCATGGTTTAAGTTCTTATGCTGAACAAAGTGCTTGCACTGTTCGTCACATTGGAATTCAGCATGATGGATTTCATACTCCCAGTAGTAGTGAAAATGAAGTGCATGGTGACACTTCTGTGCCTAGGAAAAATGAGATGTCAAAATATCCGAGGCTGGACCCTGAGCTAGATGATCGAGTCATGACAAGGCCTGTTTCTATATCAAGGATTCAGTCTAATGAACAGGTAAATGCACCTTATACAAATTCTTGTGCTACTACTGTTAGTGCTACTTTCATCATTCACATGCTTGATATACTATACTATTTAACAACGACAGAGTCTTACATAGCTGTTCAATAGAATTCATCTTTCAGTTGTTGATATGCTTCCAAACAGATGAAAACAGTAAAAACCTATAGATGGAGTCCTGACAATCTCAAAAATCTCATTTTGCCATCCTTAGAAATTTCCCATTTGTTATTTTATGCACTTCGTGTCTCAAAATTATTGAATTAGTCAGAGTCTGAAGTTTTCTAGACACAGGTGGTTTTTGAAATTATCTGATGCTGGTGTAATACTAGTGTACTATTGATTCCATTACATCTTGTTACATTACATGGTTCGTCTGATCCTGATTTTTTCTGCTAAATTATTTGGATTTCTTTCTGTGCAGGTGCCAGCATCTGTGCTCGGTGGTAGGAATCCAATATTGCTTGATAATTTGGGGGCCAAGCACTTACATTCCATTATGGAGGGTGATTTTATAGAGTTGGATGATCTCATCGATTGAGCATCCAATATAAATAGTAAAGCAACTGGATCGTTCTTATTAGAGGGAGTCTTAAAGACTGGATCACAAAGAGGTGGAATCAACCTAAATTTTCGACTAAATTACTGAGGTGCTAAATTTTCACTGAGACAAACTGTGCATACGCTCTGTTTAAATGCACAGCAGAGGATGAGAAGGGTTTAAGTACTGAAAACCCTTTAAACATTAAAGGATAAAGTATACTGTTGATTACAAAGTGGAGAGAGATGAATGGCGGGCACCAACACCTGTAAAGGTAGTTACATAAATCATTCAACGTATTGTATTTCAGTTCATGCCAGGAAATATTCATTTGCTTTCTTTTGGGGATGCAGATTTGCTCTGTGCCTAAAAAGGGGCAAGGGCTTCACTGGAACAAGAAAGCTAATACATCTGATGATGGTAAATCCGATATCAAATCTATTAGTATCAGCCGCTTCAGCGGGTTTCAATCCTGCTGCATTGTATCTACAGTTGGATACTTTGAACTTGTGGAAAGGTTATGTTTTTCCGTTGTCTAGCGCCTTCCTTAGCAAGGCCTATCTTCCTGTCTGATTCTGTTTTTCATCTCTTTCATATTCCAAAGATTTGATAGAAAACATTTCTGGGTTTTAAGTAATTTCGACATAATGATGATGACATTCATTTGATAATATGTTTGCAATTCCAAGATGAATACAAACAACAACAACAACAACAAAGCCTTTTCCCACTAAGTGGGGTCGGCTATATGAATCCTAGAACGCCATTGCGCTCAGTTTTGTGTCATGTCCTCCGTTAGATCCAAGTACTCTAAGTCTTTTCTTAGAGTCTCTTCCAAAGTTTTCCTAGGTCTTCCTCTACCCCTTCGGCCCTGAACCTCTGTCCCGTAGTCACATCTTCGAACCGGAGCGTCAGTCAGCCTTCTTTGCACATGTCCAAATCACCGGAGTCGATTTTCTCTCATCTTTCCTACAATTTCGGCTACTCCTACTTTACCTCGGATATCCTCATTCCCAATCTTATCCTTTCTCGTGTGCCCACACATCCCACGAAGCATCCTCATCTCCGCTACACCCATTTTGTGTACGTGTTGATGCTTCACCGCCCAACATTCTGTGCCATACAACATCGATGGCCTTATTGCCGTCCTATAAAATTTTCCCTTGAGCTTCAGTGGCCTACGACGGTCACACAACACGCCGGATGCGCTCTTACACTTCATCCATCCAGCTCGTATTCTATGGTTGAGATCTCCATCTAATTCTCCGTTCTCTTGCAAGATAGATCCTAGGTAGCGAAAACGGTCGCTTTTTGTGATCTTCGCTAGATTGCTCCGGTCATTAGTGTGGATAAGTATATAAATGGATAGAGATAGGAAAGCAAACACAAGATGTACGTGGTTCACCCAGATTGGCTACGTCCACGGAATAGAAGAGTTCTCATTAGTTGTGAAGGGTTTACACAAGTACATAGGTTCAAGCTCTCCTTTAGTGAGTACAAGTGAATGATTTAGTACAAATGACATTAGGAAATATTGTGGGAGAATGATCTCGTAATCACGAAACTTCTAAGTATCGGAGTGTGGTGTCGTCTTGACTTGCCTTAATAGTCTCATAGGTAGATGTGGCATCTTCTCTGGAAGTA